AAACGTTGCATGGAAGTCATAAAAGTCATAACTGTGTAGCACCCTCCTAGGTAGCTAGGGGGAGCTAGAGTCTAATGTTCAGTTAGAAGGGCTGAGTAGCAGCCCAGGTGTAATAATCAGAGAGGTCAAATTTTGGTCAGGAGCTGAGAGGCTCTGCAGATCAAGTCTCTGGGATTTCCCCCGCACTAGAGCTTTGGAGAAAGTTCTAGGAGCAGTGGGATGGAGTGAGGAGTGGCTGGTTTTTACTCTCAAGGGATCCTGCCCAATCCCCAACAGGAGGCTTGGCTTGGGGCCAGGACAGCCCTTAGGAGTGGCTGGGCATGCTCAGCAGCAGGAGAGTTTGGATGGATGATGGAGAAGTGAGGCTGGAGAGCAGCAGCAGCCTGGGAGGGAGCCCAGATGGAGAGGGGCTCACCTACAGGCAGAGGAGCTTGGAAGGAGGAAATTCACTGGCCCCTAGAGAGAGGACCACCTGTGCAGCAGGAAAGGAGCAGCCCAGATAGAAGTCCTGGTAGCAGCCACCAACCCATCCCAGACAGAGGACTGAGTAAGTAAACCTGCACCCCCTGGACCAGTAAGGAGAAGGAGAGCTTCAATATGAAACTGGATTAGCTTACTACCCGTGACTGTCTTACATTTAAAGTGACAGGCCCAGGTATGACCCAGAACAGCTGGATTAGGAGAATCTAGGGTCTGAGGTGGTACTACAGGACATGCTGGCTAGCTCTCCAAGAAGAAGGATTTGTTCTTTTGCTGTAAAGAGACTGGTACATAGTTCCAGGAAGTTGTCCTTAGTTGCTATACCCTTGGAAATCCCATACACCTCTGCTGCATCCAAGTTCTAATTCGCCAAATAAAAACCATAGAACCAAGAACAAGGACTGGTTACTGTCTCCTGGATACAAGTCTGTGTGGAAAATGCATGTTGCCTGGCTGTGCAGGACTATAGGGGGACCCAAAACTTCAGCAGTGCTACACCTGAATGTTTTACATGCAACTTTGGTGCAACAGTGGGTCAGACTGTGCAGAAGTCACAACCAAGTCTCACCCATCCAAAGTTGCATCACAATTGTGCCAACGTTGCATCAAAGTTGCACTCCAAAGTCACGCAACTTTGGAGTCGTAAAAGATTAAAAATAGTCAATGTTGATTGAGAGAGTGAAGTTCTGCTTAAAGCAAAAGATGCCTGAGCCTCTTTAACTGTCACTCAAACCCTAAAAAATATTGAGCATCTTAATCAATGTTAACCCTTTAAATGTTTTGTTTAGGCATTTATGAGGATAACAGGTTCATATATCTGTAATAAATAGATTTAAAAAGTGACAACGCTCTTAAAGGCCCTATTTCCATTTAAAATGCCTATACCAGTGTACGTAAATAGTTGCTAAAAAATCTGTGTATTTGTGGAATAATATTGAGGTGCAATGTGCTCGCTTATGTCTTGTCAATCGTGAAGCAGATACTGGCAGGAAAGAGTTATTGTAAGTATGTGGATCCTCAGTCACCTGAATAAAAACAATATGTTGGGAATTTTATTTTTCCAGGAGAAAATATGTACACCATGACCTAGAATCACTTGTTGCACTTGCAAAAATTGGTAGCATTATCATAATAGGATTTTATATTGACAAACCTTTCTTGCATACTAATTTGAACTGTCAGTCCTATGTACTCCACCGCTAATCTACTGCAACTATTTGTCTCTATGCCTCCAGAGTACTCGAAATTAAGGACTTTATTTTGTGTCTCATATTAATCTCCTTTCCTGTCATGGAGTAGCAAAGTCTTTAGCCTTGTGCCCATCTAAAAAACTGGGCATTCTCATAAATGATGTGCTCTTTATCATATATGCCCATCTTCTAAGACCTTCATACCCTGTGGAAGACAAGCTGTGACTTCCTGTGCCAAGGGGGGTTAATTGGCTTTCAGTCCTGAGATGACATGGGTCAAACGGGCCACGTCTCATCTCTATCGTTTTGCAAAGACCGGCCCTCGGCTGCTTTGCATTCATCGGTGGTCATGTCTTCTTCTCCCGCTGCACACACTGTAACCTTGGAAATGCCATGCCCGCCTATCTCTCCCACACACCAACCTTGTTAATAGGATGAATTATTTAGCTAACCAGAATTATGTGAATGTTAATCGTGTTAAACTTTATTTATAGAGGCGCCTTTCGAGAATTCCTTTCCAGGCTCTTATCAATTAGCATAAATACCAGCGTCAGTATAAAACACACACAGCTGTCAGAGTGCAGGCTGACAAACACAGCTTCATCATTGTCTGCTGCATGAAATGCTGGATTTGTCTCTCCGCCCTTCATGGAGCACAGCCGAGAAAATTACATCGGAATCTTCAAACAACAGCGGAAGTTAACATAACAATGCAAATATTATTATTCAGATTACTATTTTAGAAGCAGTGCTACAATGAAAGATGCACACACAGGTCATTTCAAATACAGACTCAGTCAATATATAGAAGAGCAGCCAACTTGACAATTTGCAATGAGCTGTGTTGGATTTTGTTACCATTTATTATTTATTTTGCATTGCCTGTGATAAATTGGTGACTGTGGATGGGAATAATATACTATCAGATATTGGCGGGATGAACTATTGTAGCTATACATAAACAGATGAATTTCAGTGCTGTTGACCTGTCAAGATTGAGGTTAGTGAGCTGCATTACAGCGATTGGATGACAGAAGAATTAAAATCATTATGCATTTTAGGCTAGGAATAATGTATTCGTGCAGCAGCATGGCACTGTAACATTATGAAAAGAGCCCGCAGTGACATTCTTTTACTTTTTTTTATATTTAAATGTACAATGTATTACTTGCTGTTAAAGTAAAATGTAACTGTATCTAAGCACCACAAACTGAAAACACTAGATAATTCATTTTTAATATTCAAAGCAAAACTCACCCATCCATCCACGTTGCCATGTTTTATTTTGTTAAGAGAGCACTTTGAAAAACACCCCCCCTAGCATTTGTAGGCATATCCGTATTGAGTAAAGGCAGATGATTCATGAAACATTTACTTCCATGAATCCATCTGCCCTTAGCTCAGGCATGCAGGAAGGCGGGTGTGCTTAGCTGAGAGAAAAAGAATAAAGCAACCAAATGCATGTACTCCTGCGCTGGACAGTGGACTCCACAATGTCAAAATCCCCACATGAGTATGAAAGGAATGCAAGCCTTGCTGCCCTCAACGGACCAGGGAAATCCAAAGAGAACTGTATATAAGAAACAGAGAGAGGGCGTAGGGCCTAGTGCATTACCTTTAAAAATGAGAGTTATCATAAATAGTAAAATACTCACAATGAAATAAAATCAAATGGAAAGCATGTCACAAAGGATGCAGTATGGTCCAATATGGTCTGGTGGGGGACTGTAGATATCTAGGTAGCTGGTGGCTGACACATTTCGAGGTTGTACCTCTTCCTTAGAGCCAGTCATGCTTTGTGACATGCTTTCCATTTGATTTTTTTTCTCTTGTGTTGTGAGTATTTTACTATTTATAATAAATCTAATTTTTAAAGTTAATGCTTTAGGCCCGTGCGCCCTCTTTTTGTTTCTTATATACAATTAGCTGAGAAAACCATTTCCCTACAGAAGACTCCTGGGATCTATGACATCATTCGCCTAGGCCTGGTAACCAGAAAGTAACTGAAGAAATTAAAAAAAAGTATAAAACAAAGTAGGTTCCCTGCATCTCTGACCTTTTTTCTGCCTCTTATTACCCACTTGCCCTCCAGAGGTTTTACCCCCCTTCCTGACCAGATACTTTTTTTTTTTCGATACGGCACTGCGTCACTTAGCTGACAATTGCATTGTCATGCAACTCTGTATGTAAATGAAATTTATGTTCTTTTTTCCCACAAAATAGAGCTTTCCTTCGGTGGTATTTGATCACCTGTCCGTTTTTTTTATTTTTTGCACTATAAACAAAAAAAGACTGCCAATTTTGAAAAAAAAAATATTTTTGACTTTTTGCTATAAAACATATCCAGTAAAAAAAAGTAAATATTATTATTATAATACAGGATTTATATAGCACCAACAATAGTTTGTGCAGCTGTTTACAATAGTAAGGGAGACAATACATCATGGGGAGCTTACATTCTAATAGGGAGAGTCTGGAGGAACAAAAAGTAATAACTCTGGGGGATGAACTGATGGGAGAAATACACTGCTCAAAAAGAGTATAGCATAAAGTCAATTAAACTCCTGAAATATTGATCTAGTCAGTTAAGTAGCAGAGGGGGTCTTTAATCAGTTTCATCTGCTTTGGGGTTAATGAAATTAACAACAGGTGCACTAGATGGGCAACAATGAGACGACACTCAAAACAGGAATGGTTTTACAGGTGGAGGCCACTGACATTTGTTTCCTACTCATCTTTTCTGACTGTTTTTCACTAGTTTTGCATTTGGCTAGGATCAGTGTCACTACTGGTAGCATGAGGCAATACCTGGACCCTACAGAGGTTGCACAGGCAGTCCAACTCCTCCAGGATGGCACATCAATACATGCCATTGCCAGAAGGTTTGCTGTGTGTCCCAGCACAGTCTCAAGAGCATGGAGGAGATTCCAGGAGACAGGCAGTTACTCTAGGAGAGCTGGACAGGGCCGTAGAAGGTCCTTAGCCCATCAGCAGGACCAGTATCTGGTCCAGATCTGGGAGGAAATATCCCATGACATCATCCATTGTCTCATTAGGAGCATGCCACGACGTTGTCAGACATGCATACAAGGACATGGGGACCATACAAACTACTGAGTATCATTTTGAGTTGTGCAATGAAATTTCACAACTCAGCAGGCTAGCCTGCCGCATACCGTATTTTTCGCCGTATAAGACGCACTTTTTCTTCCCCAAAACTGGGGGGGAAATGTCAGTGCGTCTTATGGAGCGAATATGGAGCGGCCGGTCCGGTATTTCCACCGCGGCCGTGTCAGAATACCGGGCCGGCCGCTCAGCTCTGCAGCGGGACCTTACCTGTTCCTCTATCCAGCGGCGTGCTGTCTTCCCGGCTTCTGTAGTGTGGGCACTGGGCATGACAGCCGGGTGCCAAGTGCGCATGCGCAAGAAGCGGTGCTTTTTGTGAATGGTAAGGCGGTACCTGGGACACATGACAGATCCCAGAAGCCGCCGGACCAATCACAAAGCGCAAGTGCTTCTCGCTCATGCGCACTGGGCACCCGGCTGTCATGCCGAGCGCCGTTACAGAAGCCGGGAAGACAGCGCGGCTGGATCGAGGAACAGGTAAGATCAAACAAACACTGTCAAATTCAGGTACCCGCTCCCCACCTCCCCAAAGGTCAGCAGTCATCTGTACTGTCCGCAGTCTCTGGTCATCCCTGTGCTGTCCGCAGTCTCTGGTCATCCCTATACTGTCCGCACTCTCTGGTCATCCCTGTGCTGTCCGCAGTCTCTGGTCATCTCCTGTACTGTGTCTGCAGTCCATTAGTTCAGAATTTTTTTTTCCTGTTTTCTGCCTCTAAAACCTAGGTGCGTCTTATGGTCAGGTGCGTCTTATACGGCGAAAAATACGGTAATTTTTCTTGCTTTGATTTTCGGGGTGTCATTGAATTTAGTCCTCTGTAGGTTGATAATTTGCATTTCCATCAAACAAGGGGGCATCCTTACATTCCTAACACGTTACCCAGTCCATATCAGTATAGATATCCAGCATGATATTTTTCCCCATTGAGATCTGATGTGTTTTCAAAGTGCCCCTTTAATTTTTTTGAGAAGTGTACACAAATCTGATAGGCAGGATAGGCTTCCCTGAAGAGATGAGTTTTCAGGGATCACCTAAAAGTATTTCATTTGTATTTACTAATGGCAGCAGCATCAGGATTGACAGATAAGTTCACCTTTCATAACATGTTACACCTATATTCAGGGTGTAACATGTTATGATCAGACCGACCCCCACACTCCACTGTTATGATAGCTTCCAGGGGATCTTCTCCTCCCTGCTAGCTGTCAAAATTTGAAAGAAACGGGGCCATGTGGGGCTTCGCCCGCCTGGCCACGTCACTCATTCACAGTATTCTGTGAATGGGAAAACAGCCTCTGAGGCTGTCGGCTTTTAGTTTTCAATGAACTACCATGGTGCTCTACAGCGCCATGGTAGTTCATTGACTCTTCCTGTCAGTAAGTATCTGATTGCTCGTATGGGATGTACGAGCAAGAAGATATACTGACAGGCCAGGGGGAGACCTGCATGGCACCAGCGATCTGCTGATCACTGATGCAATGGTTTAGAAGCTCCAGAAACAAAAAATAATAAATGCATATCTATTTACCTGCAAAAAATGTGCATTTATTATTTTTTGTTAAAAAGTGAACTTATCCTTTAAAAATAGTCCATTTAGATTGCGAGTGAGGTTGCACTTTAACACTAGAACACTATGTGATAGAGTTTTGAGGTTGAGTGGCTTGTGGAAGAGGTAAACTAATTTTTAAGTTTAATACATAAATACGCATTTATTAAGGAATCACTTTGAAAAACTCTCTCCTAAAATTTGTTGTCATGTCCATCTTGAGTAAGGGCAGATGACTCATGTAACATTTACTTTCAGGAATCTATTTGCTGTTGGCTCAGGCATTCATGCAGGATGGTGTGCTTAGCTGAGAAAATCCCTCCTCTTTTCCTCCAGATTATAGAAACAAAATGCCCATCAAGACTCCTGGGATGTATAACATCATTATTATCTGTCTAGACTATAAACCAAGAAGCAACTGAAAAAATGTAAAAAAAAGTTAAAAACAAGTAAATATATTATACTTTCCTATATATTTACTATTGCTAGCTGCATAAGGATTAAAATAATTAATGGTGGTTGAGAGAGTTTAGTTCCACTTTAATTAAAGTATATGTGAACCCTCACCTTGTAAAACAACCCATACAGTTTAAAAAAGAAATAAAAGGCAAAACATTTGTGTATAGATATAAAAAAACATTATAAATACCTTATTTTCCCTTTTTTATAAGTGATCACATACCTTCCATTTTCAGCTGCATAATAGGCTAGGGAAGGAGACACTGCAGAACACTGACTTTCCCAGTGAATGGTTATGCAGGTGAAGGGGGTTGGACATGTTAGCACAAGTCTGATCATTGGATTCTCTCCCAACACAGCCAGAACACTGACCATGCTGTTCTCTCATGCCTAGTGTGGTTAGTGTTTAATAGGAAAGCAGAGGGACTGGCAAGAACACCAAGGATTTCACACAAAGGAAGCAATACAAAGAGAAAATGATACTTTTTCATGGAAGTACATGGTACAGCAGGCACATTTCAGGAATAGAAATGTTGGGTTTATGTATTGAACTGTATTGTTGCTGTATTGCAAAGCAATGAGCAAACTGTTGGCGCTATATAAATCCTGTATAATAATAATAATAATACATATTCTTCAAAGCCTAACTCAAGCCAAAATGTTTTTTTAGTCTTGAATAAAGTGGCACATAGTGAGAACTTCTTTCAGGTTCTTATATCTATCTGTGAATGTAGTGGAGAGATTTTCTGTCACTTCCTATCTCTGTGATGCTCATGCAAGAAAAGCAGAGGGCATAGTCATGTAATAGAAGGGCACAGACAGCAACACAAAATATTTTCAGAAGTTCTAACTCTTCCCCATGCTACTAAAAATGTTTTTGCATTTTTATCTGCATTTGTGTTGGAAAGATTTGCTGTCGCTTTCTGATCTTGAATGTGTATGGAGGAGAACCTGGTACAAAATTTAATCCCACTTTGTGGACTTTTTGAAGCATTTAATTGGGAAGAAAAAAAGTCCTTCCCTTCTTTAGGGCTTGAGCATGTAGTGTTAATAAATTTACAAGAGAATGTACAAAGGAATCTGTGTTAAGGTTTAATGAAGACTAACATCTCCTGATGGCGCTGATGCTCTTAACTATCAAATGCTTCAACAAGTCCTCAATGTGAAATTAACTTTTGTTCCAGGTGCTCCTCTGTACACAATCAAGAACCTACTATCTGGTGAGCACTTCCTTGTGTCGCTATCAGAGAGGTAGCAGCTTAGGACTAGAACAGGGTCAGGGGCGAACTGACAACTCATGGGACCCCCAGGCAATAAGGGATCATGGGGCCCCTGTGTCCTTGCCCAAACTCAAAAAAGCCTATGAAAAAGGTACCAGGGGCATCTCATGGGGCCCCCTACTGACCCCGAGTTTCCAAATGGTCAGTCCGCCCCTGAACAGGGTCCACCCATACAAGACCAGTTTTTACTTCTGTCAGTCCATTGCTATCCCACATATATCAGACAGGAAGTGAGAAGAATTCTTCCCAAAAAAAACTCCTTCCCTGCTCCATTCAAAGCTAAATAAAAAGTTTTAATTGAAGTTGGGCTTTAACTGCCTCCCGCTCACCATATTGGGATGATGGATGGGTTCTCTTGTTCTGGAAGGACGTGATATGATGTCCTCCCACTGTAGCCATGTATACGTGCCCTGGTGGCGCAGTCGGTGGCACGCTGTGTCCCTAGGACACAGCAGATCACTAATCGTGGTAAAGAGCCGATGACATAGGCTCTTTACCATTTGATCAACTGTGTCCAATCACAGCTGTTTACATGTAAACAGGATTATTGTCAGTCCTCTCCTCACGCTAACAGTGTGTGAGAAGAGGAGAGCCTATAAGCGGCAATACTCGAAGTGGACGTCTATATTGATAATCAGGGCACTGATCATCAGTACTGTGATTATCAATGCAGCCCCATCAGTGGTGCCTTTAAGTGCCCATCGGTGATGCCTCTCAGTGTCCATCAATGCTGCCTTTTCAGTGCCCATCAGTGCTGTCTATTAGTGCCCATCAGCGATGCCTGTCAATGCCCATCAGAGGCAACCTATCAGTGCCTCATCATCAGTGCAGTCTATCAGTACTCATCAGTACCACCTATCAGTGACAATCAGTGCCGCCTATCAGTGTCCTTCAGTGCCGCCTGTCTGTGCCCATCATTGCCCCCTATCAGTGCCCATCAGTGCCACATATCAGGGCCCATCAGTGATGCCTCTCAGTGCCCATCAGTGCCGCCTTTCAATGCCTTCTCATCAGTGCCACCCCTCAGTGACTTCTATCAGTGACAATCAGTGTCCATCAATGCCAACTCATCAGCTCACATCAGTGAAGGAGACAAATTACTTATTTACAAAATTTTATAATAGAAACTAAGAAAAACTTTTTTCCCCCAAATTTTCAGTCTTTTTCCATTTGTTTAGCAAAAAAACCCCAGAGGTGATTAAATACCACCAAAAGAAAGCTCTATATGTCTCCAAAAATGATAACAATTTTGTTTGGGTACAGTGTTGCATGACCGCGCAATAGTCATTCAAAGTGTGACAGCGCTGAAAGCTGAAAATTGGCCTGGGCAGGAAGGTGGTGAAGGTGCCCTGTATGGAAGCAGTTTAGGATGTAACCCAAAACTAAAAATATAATATATTGCAGCTTACCAATAATTAGATGTGGTGTCTGCATCACTTTTAGACTTTTCCCCCTCTGTTTTCACCTGTTGATATGGCCAGTAACACACCTCCTGTATTCGTGAGGCACAACTCTGGATGAAGGAGCACAGGGGGCATACAGCAGACAGCAGCAATATAAGTCTGTAAACAAATTGAAGCCAAACTCTAGCTCACACTTTATAATCAGTTACAGCAAACTGTTTTTTTTTCTTTTGGGATAAAGGTTTTGCATGAATAAATAAAAGCTGATCATTTTAACCACCCCTGCCAGTGTTAAGTGGCTTGTCTCATCTAGGTAAACTGATCCATTCTGCTGGAGAGTATGTGCTTTTGAAAAACAACAGACTTGTTGGCTGGATAACCAGATGAAAATAGAAGAAAGAAAGCATTAAAAAAGGAACCTAATGCAGCCATAACATCCAAGAATTGGTAAGTTGAAATATTATAAATGTTTGCTTTTGCGTTTAACCATTTCAATACTGGGCAATTTTACACCTTCCTGCCCAGGCCATTTTTCATGTTTCAGCGCTCTCACACTTTGAATGACAATTGCGCGGTCATACAACATTGTACCCAAACTAAAATTTTGTCATTTTCTTCACACAACTAGATCTTTCTTTTGGTGGTATTTAATCACTGCTGGGGTTTTTATTTTTTGCTAAATTAACAAAAAAATTTTGAAAAAAAAACACGTTTTTCTTTGTTTCTGTTATAAAGGTTTACAAATAAATAATTGTTCTTCATAAACTTAGGCCGAGATGTATTCTGCTACATGTCTTTGGTGAAAATAACCCAAATTAGGATGTATTATTTAGTTTGTAGGAAAGTTATAGAGTTCACAAACTATGGTATAGATCTGAAAATTGATCAATCCTGAAGTACTGACAGCCAGTCTAATTTCTCGAGGTCCAAGAATGTCAGAATAGTACAGATATCCTCCAAATGACCCTTTTTGCAGAGTAGACAGTCCGACATAC